GGGGGGAGTCCTTTCATTTTGTTATTGTTGGTTTTACTCTCCCTTCGAGGTTGGGAATGAAAAGATAAATCAGAAAGAGAAAAAAATAAACGCAATGAAACCAGTCAGATGTGATATGTAAATAGCTCTGGCACCGTTTTATCCACATGGGGAGGAAATAAGGAACAATAACGTTGTCTAAAATTTGGCTTCAGGTGATCTACAAAACTTAATATCTATGGCTGTTGTCCAGCGATTAATGTGAACAGTAGCCTGGAAAAGCAAATGCTGATGGGGAGGGTATCAAATGGGTTGTATAGTATGAGACCGCAAAGCAGACAGACCTCCCCTTCTGAGATATTTTTGTTTTAAACATGTGCCAGTACATAGGTATAATTAATTAATGCAATTTAGCTTTTGTTTATATTTGTATATACATTTTCCTCTTGACAGAAACTTTTACTATTCTCTTGAGCTAATTTTTTTTTTTTTTTTTTTAGATTTCTTGGAAGTTATCTGCGTGTATAGAAACCATCTAAACATTTTAGCGGTTGGATACGACAGTTCCTACCTTTTTAAAGTCTTACCTCTAAATCATTAAAAAATAAATGTGTATCAGCGAGATTAAAAATCATTTCCTCCATTCGGAGTCCAAGAGTTACAGCCATGGGGGGATCCTGAAAAGGAAAAATACATCCAATGAGGTAAAATTTCAGTGACTAGTTATTATCAAGAATATTTTAAGTGCATACTGTTGTGGGTGGTGGGGTGGGTAGACTGTATGGATTTTTACCTAGGATCCAAAATATTTCCCAATTATCTAAAAAGGGTACCTTTCCAAAGGATAATCCAAGCCGCACACTAAATATACAGCTACATTTGTGAATTTACAGAAATTCATACACACATGAAGACAACTTAGAATATATTTTCACGTACATCTATATGTATCTGAGGAGGAGGAAGGAAGCAAACTAGTTGATAGGACCCAGTTTACACAGACTCCATGGAGAGTCTTTCGGAGAAAGATACCTGGATGGGGTACTGAAGAATGGAGCAGACTTGTACAGAAGAGGAAAGGACATCCCTTTAAGAATAACAGGTCATAAGTAGGAAAGGGAGAAAAATACAGACTTCCTGATGTCTGTAGGGCTGGAGCAGACACTGTTGTCTGAAGGTGGGCCAGGAAGAGCGGGTGACCCATGGTAAAACCACCCCTTAAATATCAATTGTGTTTGATCTACAATATAGACCAATATTTATTTGGATATGCATATGGTTTGGTCTAACCTGAATCTGACTAGAGATTAAGAGGGTAGGGTCAAGGATAACTAAAGGAACATTAACTCAGTAAAAGTAATCTAAGTAGAAAATATATACCTTTAAGAGTTTAATGAAAGTAAGGGGTTAGTAAGAAGACAAGTGACTTAATTCTTGTTTACAGAAACCAAGATATTACACAGCAGCAAGAAGCTCAGACCCTAGACCACAGTTGGTACTTTCCCATGATTAACTATAGTTTAAAGCCTAGCATTGGAGGTGGAAGACTTTAAAAAGTAAGGAGAGTTTAGGGCTAGGGCTAGCGCAGTAATTCATGTACAAACATTGTGCTTAGAGAAAGAAAGAAAGAAAGAAAGAAAGAAAGAAAGAAAGAAAGAAAGAAAGAAAGAAAGAAAGAAAGAAAGAAGAGAGAAAGAAAGAGAAAGAAAGAAGAAAGAAAGAAAGAAAGAAAGAAAGAAAGAAAGAAAGAAAGAAAGAAAGAAAGAAAGAAAGAAAGAAAGAAAGAAAGAAAGAAAGAAGAGAGAAAGAAAGAGAAAGAAAGAAGAAAGAAAGAAAGAAAGAAAGAAAGAAAGAAAGAAAGAAAGAAAGAAAAAAAAGAAATGATCGAGGTTGCAATGATCTCTAAAGGAGAACTGCTATAGGTTAGGTATGACTCTGGAGACACAGAAAACAAAATCCTGGAAGGGACAAATCCTCAGAATTTGAGGCCAGAATGGGTATTAACAGGGAGAAGAATATGGTTTCGAATAAAGCTGACAAGTCTAGAAGGATACTGTTGGTTTTGGCTGAGAAGTTATTTTGGAAGACTTTAGAGGGTGATTTGGGTTGAGTGGCTGGGCTAGGAGCCAGATTGTAGGGATTTGAGGAGAGAGAACCAAACTTGTGTTTTCAATGTTCTAATAAATGGCATTTCAAAAAATGTATTTAGACCTGGGGAAATTAATGCTAACTTGACTTCAATTTATGATAAGGATGAGCAACCCAACAGGCCAAGCCGGATTCATATACACCCCTAAACTTAGCAGTAGAAGCCCTTCCTCTTTCCACTCCTCCTCTGCAACAACCAATTGTCTGCCTATACTCCCTTCCATAATGCTTTGAGGAGGAAACCCTAGAGTAAACATATTGGAAGTGAGTGTCAGCTTCATATATTGTAGTGACTAAAACCTAGAGAACAGGAACTGAGTCGTAAGAAACAAAGAGGTCACTGAGGTGTGCTGAGCAAAGCAGAGACCTGAGGTGGGAAAAGATGAAGACAGGGCAGTAAGAATATGCCGGATGTCAACACAATTTTCTAATTGTCTGTATCTCTTCCTTGGAGAGAATCCAAATCCTTGGAGATTTCTGTGGAGTTCATAGTTAGATACTCTCCTCTCAAAAACAGATGTTCACTCTTCACACACTTGATGGCATTTGGGTATTGCGTCCTCCAGTCAGTCGGATTCGACTGCTAGATTCATGTGTCTTCCAGTGATAGGATTGTTTGGAATGGCATACCCAAACACCAAATAAATTCCATTGGCTCCAACAAATATTCGCTCAAGAACAAAAACAGATACAGGGAGTGCCCAGTTCGTGTCTCAAGGAGTTTCGGAACTCAGAAGGATCTCTTGCTGTTCCCTTCAAGTATAGAGTTCTTCTTTTTCCTTATTTCTGTTGTGGTTGCTCATGTTTTTTGTTGTTGAAAGAAAACCCCTGAAGGCTGAATTGTTTTTCAAACTATGTATTTGTCTTTTTCTGTTCAGAAATTCCTATTTCTAGTCTCCGACTCTCTTTTGGGGTAGGCTGAGGATGGAAAACTTGTAAATATTCTGTCTAGTCATGGGACCATGAACAAAAAGTCTATAGAAATATCAGGAAAAATCAAATGTAATTATAGCATGAAAACATATAATTCCATTAGTGACGCTCTCTGCTTTTGAGGAATGTTCACTGATGCAAGACAATAAAACTGAACTCCACACTACTCCATTATGTTTCTGATGATTACTGCCCTAAAGATATATATTTCAGATGGGGATTCAGAAATGTCCTATTTAAAAGACTTTCCTTCTGGAGACTCAGTTGGTTAAATTCTTCTATGATTTGGCGATTTTTCTTTTTTAAGTTTTAAACAAAATGACTGAATTTCTTATATTCATGTCTCACATTCTTTGCACTTATAGATCAGATTTATGGGGCTGGGAGAAAACATACTGTTCCTCTTTGATTGCTACTTTCATTGATTCCACGCTTCTGAAGTACATAACTCTCTACGCTACCCATGGTAGGCAAATCCATGAAGAATGCATTTTGTGCATCTGATAAGCATGCGAACACAATTTTTAAAAAACCAACAAGAATTCTCTAACAAGTAAGCATACCGTATGGTATGATGAAAACTTGATTTGAGCACCCCACTGGAGGAATGCAACCCCACGGCACGAGAAGGAGCTGTGCACTGGGTTTCAGGCTATGCACGATTCCACATGACACTCTAGGACCAGGACTTAGTAGGCATTTTGGCAAAATATCATTTGTTCGCTGGGAAAGTTTAGGTGTGAGATTTGCCGGAGTGTGAACTCGCTGTATTTTACTAAGGTTTCCAGAGAACAAGGCCTGTTGAAAGGGGGGGGGGGGTGTTGCATCAGCCATGCCAAAGGCTTGGCGCAGATGGGCGAGGGACAGTCATGTCACGAGCCAAGGAAAACCATGTCTGTAAGAAGTGTTGATCTTGTTTCTAAGAGAATGTTTAGTGAGGGCTTACTTTCAAATATCGAGCTTCCCACCCCCATCCCCTGCAGCTTACTAAGTCACTGCAGATTACAGGACCCCATTTTTCCAGCTAAGGAGCTCCCAGACGTAAGAATCCAGGAAAGATGACCAGTGATTTGGTGGAGGGAGCCTTAGCAGGATCTTCGTAATGGCGGGCACGCTCTGCTTTGCCAGACTACTGTGAAGGGGCTGCCAGAGCCAGAAATTCCGTGGTTTTACCAGGCATTTGAGAGTTAAACATACTTCTGGACTGAACCCAAGTTTTATACAGAGATGTTTGCTCATTTTCATTAGATGTTTGTGGAATTATGGGCACCTTATGAATCAAGAGTTACTGCCTCTTTTAAGTTTAACTGTAGTGCGTGCTGAGTTTAGGGTCTGAAATGAAGTGATGGGGAAAGCAGGATAATAAGGGCACTCTCAGGGTTTTGTGGAAGCCCTGATACATATTAGACATCTATAACAATTCCAGTAGGTTCCAAGTGTCTACAGCAGAGTTTAACATGGTGCAAACTGAACTCCTGCCAGTTTACTCTGTGTACTGCTCTATGAAAATACTTAAACTATTCCCAAGACATTTTAAGGGAGAGAGGGAGAGAGAGAGAAAGGCAGGGAGAGAGAGAGAGAGGGAGGGAGGGAGGATGAAGAAAACGAATAACTCTTGGCCCTTAAATGTGTGATTCTAAGCCAGATGTTACCAGTATTTAACCAAGTCAGGATCAAGTACGGCACTTCTCTGTATCAAAATACTAATGCCTATTAGCCATGTTAGCACAGAGCATAAATTGGAGCCAGACTGTCTGTCTCGGGGCCTCTGCCCTGCACTGGGCCATCAGCTGGAATCCCTCCTCTAGGGACACAATGTAAAAATATCTCAGGAGAGGCAGCAATTATGTATTTTTAAAGAAACAGAGGTTTTTTGTTTTTTTTTTTTTTAAAGAACCAAAGCTCTCGGAACAGTTACTCCTTTGGGACAGGATGCACATTTGTAGACTTGTGGGCACAGAGGCAAAGGATATGTGCAAATTCACCGCAGAAGAAGGAAGAACACTAGTGCTATGAACTAAGGTAGGGACAACTTGTGGGTTCGTGAGGACGCATGAACTCTTCTAATCAGTGACGAGGGATGAAATGAAACTCAGTCATGAAGCGGAAGGAATATTTTTCGATTGAGATGTTTCTCCATGACGGACAGGCAGTGGGCTGAAGGGTTCTCCGGGCAGCAGGGGAGATGGGGAGGTGGCTCAGTCGGTTGAGTGCCGATTTCGGCTCAGGTCATGATCTCATGCCTCGTGAGCTCAAGCCCCGCGTCGGGCTCTGTGCTGACAGCTCAGAGCCGGGAGCCTGCTTCAGATTCTGTGTCTTCCTCTCTCTCTGCCCCTCCCTGCTGGTGCCATGTCTATCTCTCTCAAAAATAAATAAACATTAAAAAAAAAAAGAGTTCTCAAGGGGAATGGGAGAATGGTCTCAGGAACATCCATTTCGTTAACACATATTCACCGAGTGTCTACTATGTTCACATTCTGGGCAGAGAGCAGAGAATCGACTAAGCAAAGTTTCGGCCCTTGTGGGATTAATATTATTCGTGGATGAGCTACCTAACAGACAAAATCCAAATAAAGATACAGCATGTCAGGTGGTT